TGTGCACTTCCACTCGGAGCCCTGACCCAGTCCAGGGACCATGCCAAAGGACAGAGGCAGGAAGCCTCATTTCTGATGCAAAACCCTGGTCTCTCCAGTCCTGGGTTCCACAGCACTCACCTGCCCATTGCCTGTCCCTCTGTACAGATCAGGACCCAGAAAACTCTACTGAAGAAGTGGCTGAGAGAATGTGGCATGCAATGCTTGCTTGCTGGACTCCCTGCAGAAACAAATGAGGTTGGTTAGGGACACTTTTGTCCACCGTGCCTCCTTATTCGATCCATTCCCTGAGACACTTCTTCATCCAAGGTGGACATCCCACTTGGCCCAGCAAGCAAGCAAGCGTGATCACCTGCTCTGGGGGTTGCTGGGCCAAGGGGGATGTCCATCCCAGAACTAAAAGGCCTCTGCCTTGTGAGCCATCCCTGTAGCCAGAGGACGTGGACTCAGGAGATCATCCTTTACCCACACATCCCTGTAACGTGAGACCATCCCCGCATCCTCATGCTCCGGTCACACAAGGTTATCTATGGAACTGAAGGCCAATGTCATGTGAAGTCATCCTAGGCCACAGTTCTGTCACACAAGGTCATCATTGTACTCACAGACCCAGTTGTTAGAGGCCACCCTGCATCTACAGATCACACACCCATCAAGTCAGCTCTGCATCCAAACGACCTGTCTGTCACATGAGGCTATCACTGCATCCAAAAGCCACTCTCATTGTGTGGCCCTCCCTGCACACACAGGTCACCATCATGTGAGGCCTTCCCTGTATACACAGGTGCTGTCACATAAGGTCATCCTGATCCAACAGCCCCTGTCACATGAGATCATTTCTGCACAATAAGGCCCCTGTTGCATAAACCCTTCCTTGCAACCAAAAGTTCATTTCATGCAGGACCATGCCTGCATCCAAAACCCCTTTGGGTCACTCAAGACTGTAACTGATCCGACAGACACTTGCTTTCTAGGCATTCCCAGAAAACACAGGGACCAATTTTTGATGCCATGCTGGATCACAGCACCAAGTTGCAGGAAGCCATCAGGCACACACAGCCTCTGTCAGAGGAGGACACATCTACAACCAATGGCCAAGGTAGTGCAAGGCCATGCTGCACCTACAGGTCCTTCTCGCAAGAGGCCATCCTGGCACACATAAGTCCATCCTGACTACATGGACCCTGGACCTACAAGGTCATCCAACAACCCATTAAGACCTCTCATGCAAACACAGGCCACAGATATATAAAGATGTCACTTCACCCACAGGCCTTGGACGTGTAAGGCCATCTCCACAAGAGACGTCCCAGATATGTGTTGTAATCCCTATACCTACAGCTCACTGTTGCATGAGGCAGTCTAAGCACCCAAAGACCCTGCATACACACAGTCATCCCCACACCCACAGGCACCATTTGTTTGAGGCCATCCCTGCACCCACAAAAATGATGGGTGAGGTCATCTTTGACCACACAAGCCCTGCACCAACGAGGGTATCCCCACATGCATAGGCCCTGGACACATGAGGCCACCCCTGCTCCCTCAGACCCTTGTCATTGTGGCAGAACCTGCACCCACCCATGGCGTGAGAGGCTGTCCTGTACCCACAGGACCCAGGTGGATTAGGTTGTCCCTGAACACAGAGGCCCTCAACATGGGAGCTGTCAACACATGCATGGACTAAGGTCTTACTAGCCCTACCCCACACCCACAAGATTTTTAAAAGGCAAGGCTGTCCCTGTACCCAAAAGTCCCTTACCCTACAGCCCACAGGCTCCCATCACACAAGGCTGTCCTGAACATACAGGCCATGCACACAGAGACCGTACTTGCACCTATGAGCCCAACACATGAGGCCTTCCTTGCACCCAAAGGCCTCTGTGGCATGAGAGGCCAACCCACACCCATGGACACCTTTTGTACAGTGCTGCCTCCCTCCCATCCCCGCCCCCGCCCGCCCCAGGCCTTTAGCATGTGAGGCCACGCTGAACCCAAAGGCCCCTGTTGCGCAAGGCCATCTCTTCATCCACAGAACCCTGTCAATGCAAAGCCATCTCTGAACCCACAGGCACCAGATGGTGAGCTAATCCACACACACGGGCCAAAATCACACCAGGGCTGCCCCGCACCCATAGGCCCTGGCATGGCAACGCCAACCCACTTCCAAAGGAACCTGACACCAAACTCCACAGGCTCATGTGGTGGGATACCATCCCATACCCACAGGCCCGTGTCATACAATGCCATCCTTGCAAGCTCAGATCCCTCTTCTGCGAGACCACATCTATACTCACAGGACCCAGATGGGTGAGGCCATTACTTTACCCAAAGGTCCTGTTGCATGAGGCCTTCTCTGCCCCCATAGACCCTTGTCTTAAAAGACCATTTCTGCAACCACAGGCCAGGAAGCCTGAGGTTATCTTAGTGAAGATCTCTTCTGGTCAAGCCTGTTGGGAGTTCTCTGCCCCTCCTAGATGTTGTTTCCCAATTCTTTCTCTAGATTAGGGAAATTTTCCTTTATTGTTTCATTAAACACATTTGCAAACTCAGCTTCTCTTTCTGCACCTTCTGGGACTCCCATAACTCTTATATTTGGTCTCTTAATAGTGCCTTTCTAAAATTCTTCTGCAGTAAAGAGAAGTTAAAAGAATTTGCCTCTTTCAAACCTGCCCTACAAATGACACTTCAAGATGTTCTCTTGACAGAGAAGAGGCCTAGCACCAAACAAAACCAAAGGCAAATGGGAAGAATATCCCAGTAAAATGACAACAGAAGACTAAACCAACGAACAGCCCATTCCTAAAATGACAGGACCAAAGTACCACCCATACATATTAATCTCCGAATGTAAACGGTTTAAGCTCAATCAAACATCATAGATGAGTAGACTGGATTAAAAAACAAAACCCATCTATTTATTGTCTGGAAGAGACACACTTCACCAACAAAGATCAGCAGAAACTATGTTGCATGGGTTTTGTTCTTTTCTGTTGGTTTCATCTCTTCAAAACACTTTCTTCTGATTAAATCATTCAATGACTCGTAGAACATGCAGTGGCATCAATTTCTTCAAGAAGGTTCTTGCTTTTCACTCCTTCAGCTACATGTTAGTCATTTAACAGCATGTTGTTTAACTTCATGGTGTTAATATCCTATTTCTCCCTGATGTTGATTTTGTTTTGTGGATATATTACTGTGTAGGAAGAACTATATGTTAATAATGATACAGAGGGACTAGGTGGGGGGAGGGAATTGGGGAGGGGATAAGGGAAATGCCAGGAGCCTATGGAACTGTATCACAAAATGAAAATAATAATAAAATAAAAAAAAAATTGACCCCTAGAGCATAAGGCTGTTGTCGCATAGCACAACCAACATTCTACCTCTGGCTTCATGCTGGCAGGCTCATTCATCTGCTCAACCCAGAAACTCACACTCTTGACCCCTGACATCTCCTTGCTCAGACCGACACTCCGGGGGGGCCCTGTCAAACAGTGCCTGGTAAAGTAGCCTTAACCACAAAAGACCACCTTCATCTTACTTCCATCCCAGACAGGCCAGGTCCAAATCTCCCTTAGGGTAATCTCCGATGGCAGCAGGATCCTGGAAGGCTATTTCTCACATCAGCTCCACTCTGAGTCAAAGTCTGCACTGCACATGGCCCAGCCAGCAACTCCATGCCAGCTGTCCACACAGCAAAGTCCTTCATTTATGCAAGGAAAGGACCTCATTTTCTCCAATTAGTAAAGACCTAAACGTGCTCTGATGGGTAGGAGAGCCAGAAGAAAGGAGAGAGAGAGAGAGAGAGAGAGACAGGCCATGGCAGGTGCTTCAGAAAGCAGCCCAATTCTGCCCAGCACCCACCAATGCTTAACTATCCTTTCTAGTCACTTGTACTTACTTAGTAGCTGCTCATCTAGGCTGAACCAGCAATGAATGAATTACACACGCCCGAGCTGATGCCCACTAGGGATGCAGGGAGACTCAATTTGTTGACAATCTTCAACTTGGAGCAACTCTCCAGGACTTCCTGATTGAGGATCCTGAGCAGAAAGTCCCAGATCTGCATCACCTCCATCAGCAAGTGCTCAAAGTCCTTCTTTTTGACTTTTGACACCTCTTCCCTCAGGTGCAGGGCTACAAAAGACAGGCACATCTTCTCAGCTTCTGATCACTGTCACTGCTCACCAGGCCTTTGGCAGACAGGCTTCCTAGTCAGCTTCCAGGGCCTGCCTCCTGCAGGCCTCTCAGATTCTCACTCATCTGCTCTAACAAGTTCATCAATTCATTCAATCAATAAGCTGATTTAATTAATTAACCAACCATTTTGGCTTGTTCACTTGATTGATTTAGTTCAACTGTTTAGTTGGTTTTTCAAACAAATAAAATTTCAAACCCCACACATCTGACCCATGAAAGCACACACACACACACCAGGTGTGCATATGCACCAGGATAGCAGGGCACACAGCAAGCACCCTGTCAGTCAAGAGAAAAACGGGGACCCACCCTGCTGGCTACCTCCTCCTGCACCACAAACCCTGCACTGCCTTCTCTGTCAGAATCCCAGCTAACTACAGATGGAGCAGAACGTTGGATCTTCTGCAAGGGGCTACAGTGCTCCCCACTGCCCTGCCCTGCCCCCATCACAGCTAATGAAAGTGACCACCCCGCAGCCCAAGTCAATCAGATTTTCTCAAAACCTGAGTCAGAATCCCCAAGGAAGTGATAGGCCTTCAGGGACCTAGGCTTCCACAGAGCACCTAGAGCTGGCAGCCACCTGGCCCACACTTGCTCCAGATACCTTCAAGACCTTACAGCCACAACTCCCACAACTGAGTTCAGGGACCTCCCACCCCACACGGACTCTAAGGAAGGCCCAGGCCCTAACAGGGAGCAGATGAGGACAGGGATACCTCAGGGCCACCTCACTTACCCAGCAGTCTTCCTCAGGGCCACCAGCCTCATCCATGGCCAACCACTGCTGCCACCATCACCACTGGGCCTTGGCTCAGTGTGCTTGCACAGCGCCCTCTGACTCCTGCAGGCTGGGAAAGGCAGGAACGCATCCACGCTGGGAAGAACTGAGAGCAACCAGGCTCAAACCTTCCCAAGGCTGTGCAGCATTCTTAGCTTCAGGTGGAGTGGGAGAGGCAGGGCTTCCTCAGCAAGGTCAGGCTTTCCTGCATCTGGACCTTCACCTCATGCACTGAAAAGTAGAAACGCGAGACCAGAGGTCAGTCATTTCCATTGCCAAGTCCTGAAAGCTAGGCATGCCAGGCTAGGGGGTAAGGTGTTCTTTAGCTCGGCTTCAAGCACATCTGCGTCATCAGGGAGAGTGACTTCAGCCAGATCCGAGGAATCCTGGGGCAGAGCTGCGAACAGGTGGGCAGATTCATCCCAGCTCCAAACCCACCACCTTCAGGATGTGCATTTTACATGAACCCCAAGTTACCACACACCTAGGAACAGTGTCTTCCCTCCATGGAAGTGCAGGCAGTGAGATGGTCACCACTTTGACAAGGGAGGTGTGCACATTGTCCAAGCGTCAGGAACTCAAGGGACCTACACATTGAGTCACCCCCCACATTTACTCTGAGGACATGCTCCCTTCACCACCCTGCACCTACACCTGCACCCGGACATGCCGCCTTCCATGCCCTGCACCTGTCACCACAGCTGGCTGCTCGCAGGTGCAAATGGACCTCCATCCATATCATCCAGTTAAGGCTGTGGGGTATGTCTCTGTGAGGGGAAATATCACAGCATTAGGTAGGCATCAGTCTAAGTGAACAGGCTATGTGAGTAGGAGGGGCCAAGAAAATGGGAAATTTAGAAGGAAAAAAAAAATGACTCTCTCTATGCTGGAAGGAGGACTCAAACCTTGAAGCACTATACACATTTATATAGCGGAAATCTTGTCATTGGTCAGTGAGCTGACTGGGTGGGGTCCAGCCCTCTCTTGGGGGTTGGGAGAACCTTACAATAATCTTCTCCCCAAACATAACAAGCCAGATGAATCCTGGGTGCAGCTGGAAATTTTATGTTTTGTAAATTTTTATATACACACATACATACATATACACACCTACATACATATACACACATATATCAGGAAGTTAAGCTTATAATAGAAGGATCAAGGAGTATGCCATTGTAATAAATTAGGAACAAATCACAGGAGGGGGGAATGGAAGGGAATGGGGGAGAGTGGTGAGACCCTTCACTTAAAAATAAGTATCATAAAAAAATGAAACTTCTTAAAAAATGACATGATAATCCCATGATGGTGCAAGCATGTATGTGCTGCCTTCACCCACCTCCTGCATGACCTGAGCTCACCACCTGGGACACAGAACCTACCACCTGCACCGCCCCTGCTTACGGGTCTCCACCAACTCCAAAGTACAGTCTCACTTCACCTCAGCTGCTCAGGACAGCATCCTCCCTACCTGGGGTCCCAGGCGATGCCTCCTCAGACCCTAGCTTCCTTCCCTGCTCTAGGCAGACCCCACACTTCCATGCTGACCAGATGAAGTCCATGCTTCCTTCACATCCCAAGGAAGTCCTGGACATGCTCCCTCCAGTGACCAACAACCTGCTCCTCTCTCCCATGCAGACCTGCGCGCTTCTCCCCAAGCTGAACTGTGCTTCCCCAGGACCAAGGATGAATCCCACGCTCCCCCACCACTGCTCCCAGTCCCTGACCGGGATTCCAGCCAACCCTGCATTCCATGCACACATACCCTCCCCACCACAGCCACCCGTGGAAGAACGCCCCTTCCTGCTTCCCCTTCCCAGCCCTACCATGGACTGGCCCCTCCTGGTGGCTTCCTCAGGGGTCTCCACCCACTGCCACACATCTGGGGTTCATCTGGGAACTCTGCAGCCACCACTCCTGCACGGTGACCCACGCTGCTTCTCCACTTGTGCGCCGCGTGAGAAAGCTTCGTCTGCACGTGGGGAAGATTTCCTCATGCCACAACTTGGGGTCTCTTGCTGTCCCCACAGAAGACTTCTCTGGTTTCAGATGCACCCCACCCTGCGAGGCCCGGCCCACACACAGACCCATGCTGCCCCACCCTGCCACCATGCAGACCCATGCCTCCCAGCCCTCTCCACAGCAGCACACCTGCGCCACCCAGCCCACCTCTCCTCTGGTGGCTGCACACTGGCCTCCCGAGAGTCATGACTACCACCATAGGTAAAGTCCCGGGCAGAATGTGGCTGACACAGTGGGTCACCACAGCCAAGGCAGGCATGGGAAGTTGATGCCTCATGTTTCTGCCCATGCTCTCATTGGACCAGCTCCGTTTCTGTTTTGGGGGAGAGGCAGAGCCCTGGAAATAGGTCTCATCAAGCTACGTGATTTTGCCCTAGTCCAACAGGGAGGCCTGTAAATTAGCCTCCTCTAACTTCCACAGTCCCAGGTCAGGGACTAGGGGTAATGGGCCTCTGGCCACAATGGGCTGCTGCCTCCAGGGGGGCTGCGGGGTGCTGGGCCTGTGACCACAGATGGGCAGCTACCTCCAGCAAGGCTGCTGGATGCTCAGCCTGCGTGCAGCCACGTCCAGCAAGGCTGTGAGGATGGGGACCAGGGGCTGCTAGGCCCGTGACTATGGCTGGGTGGCCTCCTCCAGAGAGCCTGCGCAGCTGCTGGGCCTGTGGCCACAGCTCAGTGGTTGACTCCAGAGAGCCAGTGTTGCAGGGCTGCTGGGCCTGTGGCCAGGGCTGGGTGGCCACCTCCAGTAATGTTGCAGGGGTGGGGGTGCAGTTCGCGCCAGAAATACATCTTTCAGGAGCCCAGCCACCTCCCTGCTGGCCTGCACTGAGGCTGGGCAGTCCAGGAGCTCACTGTCTGGGAATCCAGGAGCTGGATCCCGGGTTCGGGCTGGAGGTACGGTGGGTTCCCAAGATGCTGAAGTGGTCTGCAGGGTGCCCTCACCCAGGGAAGGGGACTCAGATACTCAGCGGAGCTCTGATCTGCACACACAGGGGACACTGCCTCCACCTTACCTCCGTGAGGGTCAGGGAGCCCAGGAATGGGATTGGGAGAGCAGCCAAGAGGCACAGGGTCAGTTGCTGCTTGGTGCACCCACCTGGGAGATCCGGAAGAAGTTCCTGGCTCTGGACTGGCTCTGCTCTGGCCTTTGCGGCCACTTGGGGAGTGAACCAGATGAAGGAAGATCTTTCTGTATCTCCTTTCTGGAAATCTGCCTTTGCAATAAAACAAAGTACTTTTTTAAAAGTCCTGAGAATTCATTAATTCCCTTATTTGTATATTAGAGAAACCAAAAGAAGTCAATATTAGCAGATATACTTGGAATGAATAGTGTCATCTACTGTTTCTTCATTGACAGACAGCGTATTATCATTTTCTCACCCTGATAGTTCACCCTCAACAGACTGCTCACCAGTGGGCTCTGCAGGGCCGGGTCTGTTCTGATGGCCACCTGCGGCTCCAGCCCACACAAACTGAATCCCCCACACCCCAGAGCATGCACACATAGTGCCTTGCCTGCACTTCCACGCCAAAACAGTAGTTATGGGGCCTCCAGCACTCTCAACCCTGCTCCCTCAGCAAGCTGCTGGCCCACAAGGCGCTGTAATCCTGGTGCTTTCTTAGGCAAACCTGCAGCACCAGCCCACAGGACCTGAATCCCCTGCCCTACAACATGCCCATGCTGCCATCCCGCCTGGCAATAAAGGGCCAAAGGGGCTCTGGCAGGGCCTTCCACACTCCCAGGTTGTCTACCAGCCTCTCCAGAGCCGCTAGAGCTCAGCTGGCATTCCACAAGCCTCAGACCACTGCCTCCCATATCCACTGCAGTAGGGCAAGGTGGGCTTCTCAACCAACCCACATCCATCCTGCTCCCACAGCCACCTGCTGCCTCCTCCAGGGCCATTCCGGCTTGCCAGTGCCCCTGCACATTGTGCAAGCCTACCACATGCCCCCTTGCTGCCACAGGGCCACACCTCCTTTGGCAGCAGCCATCACATCCCCAGCCTTTCTGTCCTTCACTGCAGTGCCAGGCCAGTTTGGCCAACAGGCCCTAGAAACAAAGCACGCCTGCCTGCCATCTGGCTTGGTGCTCTAGGCCCAGGCTTGGTGAGCTGTTGCCAGAAACACCTCTAGCTTGGCGTGGATGCTACCCTGCTGCTACTCCAGGGCAATTGGTCTTGGCCTGTCACCCCAATCCCTCAGCTGACTCCTTGGCTGTATGCCTCCCCAGGGCCGGGCCAGTTCTTCTGGTGGCACTACAGTCCCAGCTGGTATGCCCGACCACGCTGTACTCCAGACCCAGGCTCACTTGCCATGGGCCAACCACATCTCCAGCACTCCCACTGTGGCCACTTCAAGAGGCACAGGCCAGCTCGGCCAATGTGCACTGACTCTCCAGCCCATCTAGATGCTCGCAGGCTGCTCCATGGCCAGGGAGGCTCACCAGACACTCCACACCACAGCATGGCACCCTGCTGCCCGACTTGCTTCACAGCCACACAGGCTCCTGCAGCACCTCTTACACACACAAGGCCACATGCCAGCTGATCTAGGACCAGTAAAGCTCAGCTGCCTGGCACCAGGGATCCCAGGTGCACCCATTCCATCGGCCTTTACACTGATCCAGGGCCAGTTGGCTCAGCAAGGGACCTCTCCCTCACATGGCTGATTGCAAACCAGCCTCTCTGGGGACAGTCCCATTCTCCTGCGTCTCTGGGGCCCCAGACAGTATACCCTGAGGTCCTGCTTGCCACTTACTCCAGGGTCAACCTTGACTGGCAAGTGCCAGACATGCCTCTAGCCTGCCAGGTCCACCACCCTGCTGCTGCTCAACGGACAGTTGAGTTTGGCTATCTACCCAGTTTCCTCAGCAAACCACATGCTGTGTTTGCCACTCTAGGGCGGGGCCCATTCTGCTGCCAGCACTGAGGCACCAGCCAGCACGAACCTCCAATTCCCCAGCATCTCAGGGCCAGGATAATGGGGCCCTGGGTCCTCAGTGCCACCAGCACTCATGGTGTGGTCACTGCAACAGGCACAGCTCCCTCAGCAGGTGACCCCTATGCCTCTAGCTCACCCACCCAGCTGCCTCATCAGCAGCTCAAGGTCCACATGGCCTCAGCCAGTGCCTCCCATGCTCATGGGCCAGGCCCCACCCAGGAGGGTTCAGCCGACCCCACATACTTCCAGTCAGGACACACCAACACTCTGATTGCTGTTCCAGGACCAGGTAGGCTCAGCTCATGCAGTGCTCCAGAGCAAGTGGGGATCAGCCAGCAATCCTACTCCCTCAGCAGAACACTCAGCTGCCTGCTATTCAGAGCCAGCCCATTCTGCCAGGGACCCTGTGGCCCCGGTTAGCATTCCCTGTCACTCAGCTTGGCACTCCAGGGCCAGGCTGACACTGGACCTTCTGCGCTGTAACACACTCCCACAGACTGATGGCCATGACAACTGGGCCTCTAGGGCACCACACTGCTCCACACCAACTACAATAGGACCAGATCCCTGCACTTCTAACCCACAGGCTGATCCAAGGCCAGGCAGACACAGGTGGCGTGTCTAATGTTCCTAGATCCTGCCTGCCTGGCTGCCCTGCAGGGTGTTCCAGGACAAGGCAGGCTCAGGAGGTTCTACCCTCCCCCCAGTACCCCAAGCCTGTCCACCATCCACTCTGGAGCCAGGCCAGCTGGCTGACACCCCTCCAGTTCCCAGCCTGCCACCTGGACTTCTAGCCCGCCCACATCACTACCCCACCAACTGTTCCAGGCACATGTACACTCAGCCACCCACCTGCTCCCTCAGCAGGGCTGCCCACTGATCTAGGGCTGGGCCCATCTGACAGCAATCTGTAGCAACAGCCCATAGGATCTGAATCCCCGGGCCCAGAGCATGCCCACATCTGAGGGGAGCAGGGTGCCAAAGCACGTCCCAGGAATAGGAAAGGCCCTCTCAGGATGGCAGCCTCCCCAGGGCCAGGAGGCGGGGTTGGTCTCACCAGCAGGCAAACAGGAAGTCACAGGGATAGGCTGATGCCCTCGCTGCAATTATGTCATTGCAACTGGCCTATCAGGTAGCACCAAGTGGACCCACAGGGAGAAGTGATTGGTGGAGAGCAGTATAAAAGCAGCCACTGAAAGCTATAAGATGGACCAGTAAAAGAACCACGGATGGAATGAGAAGAATGGGGCAGCAGAGAGGGGTAGAAAAGCTAAGCAAAAAGCTAAGGCATAGAGGGAGAAAAAGCAGCAGAGAGGGGTTACAAAAGCAGTAAGACCTATGCAGAGAAAAGTACAGGGACAAGAACGGGGGGAAAAGCAGCAGAGAGGGGTACAAAAGCAATAAGGCCTACGAGGAGAAGAACAGGGAAAAAAGCATCAGAGAGAGGGCTAGAAAAGCAGCAGAGAAGATCTACAGGGAAAAAAGCAGTGGAGAAAGAGTATAAAAGCAGCCGCTTTTGGCAATAAGGGGTCCGGTTGCGGTTCCGGCTTTTCCCAGACCCTCAAGAGTGTGCCTCGTAGGTAGTGTCACCGAAGGTCAGCAACACATGTCCACCTCACTGCCCTGCTTACCTGTTTCAGTGAAAAAATGGCTCATGTGTGGCCTCCCACATTCCCAGCCCACCTACCAGCCCCTCTACTGTCAGCGGGACTTGGCCAATGCCTCATGCACAACAAGCCGCTGGCCCCTGCTGCTCTTGGGGAAGGCAAGCTTCTCCATCAGCAACCCTTCCCACCACACCCCTTGCCTACAGATACTTGTCACCCACTCCAGGGACATACCAGCTGGCTAGCACCCAGCCACAGCCAGCATGCCCACCCTGCCACCATGTCCACCCTGCCACCCCACTTGTTGCTGCAGAGCCACGCCGGCTTGGGCAGCAGCCATCGCATCCCCAGCCCACCTGTTCACTGCAACACCTCAAGGCCAGCTCTGCTGAAGGCTGCCCACACAAAGCAGGTTTGCATACTGTCCCATTTGCTGCTTCAGGGCCAGGTTCTGCTGGTGTCACTAGGCCCAAACCCTAGCCTGCCAGCACCACAGCTCATCGGCTGCTCCAGGGCAGGATGGGATTGCCCAGTGACCATGCTCCCTCAGTAGGCAGCATCACCACCTGCTGCTCTAGGACCTGGCCCATTTTGTCAGAGACCCTGGGTGCCAGACTGGCATGCTCTGTCATTCCTCCTGGCACTTCAGGACAAGGTTCACTCCTCCAGGGACTGCCATACTTCTAATATTCTAGGCAGCCAGGCACAAAGCAACTGGACTGGAAACCCCTATGCCTTTAGCCTACCCACCCAGTTGTGCCATGAGTTGCTCCAAGACCAGGTGGGCTCTGCCAATGCTGGCCAAGCTCCTAATGTCCACCTGTCCCACCACCATCCCCTGCTGCTCAAGGACCACTCCACAATGGCCGGTGCACCTGCCACCCTCCATCCACCCCAGGGCCAGGCTGGCCCACAGAACACCCCTCTCTTTCCCAGCTTGCCTCTGGGCTGCTACAGGGCCAGGCAGGCTCAGCTGTTGCCCCACATGACTCTAGCCCGCCTAAGCCACTCTCCCACCCACTGCTCTAGTGGCCTGCAGGAAGTTCCCCTAGCACCATAGGCATGCCTAGCATGCATGGGGTATGCTCCAGGGCCAGTGTGTGTTCAATGAGACAGCCCAGTCCCCATGCCATCTGCTGGCTGCTCCAGGGCCAAGTCTGATAGGTCAGATCACCTTGTGTCCCTAGCCACCCACTACCTGCTTCATTGCCAAGCTGGCTCCGCTGGTATCCCTGCACCCACAGGACTATCATCATCCATTGCATGGCCAGCCCGACTCTCCCAGGACCCCTCCCCACTGCACTCCTATCCTGCCCACCCTGCCACCCGCCCACCCTGCCAGCTGCTCCAGGATCTGCAGGGCTAGCCCAGTGACCCAGCATCCCCAGCACACCACTCACTGGCCTGCTCCTCCAACACCAGGTCCACTTGTCCTGTGTCCACTGCACACCTTGCACATCCATTCCACAGCAGCTTTCCCACTCTGGGGACAGGCCAGTTCAGTCGGTGACCCTCCTGCCCACAGTGCAATATCCCTTGTCCCCAGGACCAGGCTCCCAAGCCCAGGTCCCCAGCTCATCTAGCTTGCTTGCCCTGCCACCACACACCACAGCCAAGCCAGGGCTAGGCTGGCTTTGGTAGCGCCTCCTAAGTCCCCAGCTTGCTGTTGACCATTTGTGCCAGGCAGGCTCAGCCAGTGCCCACAGCTACCCTCTGGCAGCTGGCTGCTCCAGGGTCACGTCGACTGTGCTGGCGCCTCCAGCTCGCAGGCATTCCACAGTCCGGCTGGCTCTGGCTATGCCTCCTGTGCCCACAGCCTTATTACCATCCTCTCCAGAGCCAGCTTGCCAGCCTCCCCATACCCAAACTATCTTGCCTGCCACTCCAGGGCCAGGAGGGCTCAGCCAGTTCCCCCAGCACCCATAGAGGCTGGCTGCTCATGGCTCCATCTTACAAGAGTTGCTCTTGCTCCCCTCCCCACAGTGCAGCACTTAAGTGTTCCAGAGTTGCTTCCTGCTTCTTCTGCTTTGGGCTGCAGTCTTCATACGGCAAAACTAGGACTTGAGATAATAAGATTGTTCTTCAAACAGTCATCAAAAGATGCTGTTACTTGCAAGCGTCACTGTGTCAGAGCTTCGTCCGTTCACATTCCATCCTTCTGACTGCGGCAACTCTGGCTTCACAATCCTACGTTTTTTCTACACGTCTGTGCTGCATCTCTTGCAAGACTATGAGTTTCTCTTCAGCCTGGGCTCTAAGGGGGCATGAAGGAGACTGGTATGTGACATACTGCCACTTCAGGTCCCACGTGCAGAGAGGCATCCCTGGAAAGGAGTTATTTCACAAGTGAGCAGATAGCATTACATCGGTGGGCAAAGTGTGGCTTCCAATTTAGTGAACCTACACAAGCTGCTGACTTAGGACATTATCTTTAACAAAGAGTGAAAAACAAAATTCTCTACAAGTATGTGACAAAAGTTTCTTCCAAGAAATAGTTCAGTTTAGCTAAGTATTTCAAATGGAAAAATAACGAGTAGATAATTCACAATGAAAGAGGCCAGATGCACTTGAAAATCTGTTACAAATCCTTATGACAGAATTACCTAGTTAAGAAAGTAAGAAAGTAAGTAAAGTAGTTTTAAAATGTTAACACTAAGGGCCCGGCGGCGTGGCCTAGCGGCTAAAGTCCTCGCCTTGGACGCGCTGGAATCCCATATGGGTGCGGGTTCTATTCCCGGCAGCTATCCGGACTCCCATGCAGCTCCCTGCTTGTGGCCTGGGAGAACAGTCGAGGACGGCCCAAAGCTTTGAGACCATGCACCTGTGTGGGATACCCAGAAGAACTTCCTGGCTCCTGGCTTCGGATCGGCATAGCATCGGCCGTTGCAGTCACTTGTAGAGTGAATCATCGGATGGAAGATCTTTCTCACTGTCTCGCCTCCTCTCTGTATATCTGACTTTCCAATAAAGAAATAAATCTTTAAAAACAAATGTTAACACTAAGATACTCACTTTTGCCCATCACAAGTGTTTTCTTTCTTTAGGCCTTCGAGGTTTCTTTCCACGATATAAGCTGCCCACTTGAAGTAATGGGAAAAAAAATTAAAAGAAATGTAAGAAAGGAGGAAGAATATATGAGAGAAGGAAAAGGGTGACCATACCGTCTTCTTAAAACCACGTGTTTGAAATATATTCACCACATGGAAGTTAATAGTTTTAAAAACGTTTTAGGCACACCAGGGGATGGCATCATCCTGTTGCCATGCTCCCAGGGCACCAGGTGAGGGGGTGAGGGGGCTGAAGCTGCAGCTTCAGTTGGGGGAAGGCTAAGGGCATAACACGGTGGGCACTGGAGAACCAGGAGCTCATCACTAGGCAGGTGGAGAGAACCTGGGGATTTCCTTATGTGTCTGGTCCTGGGTGAGGTGAGGAGAGCTGAAGAAAGAGCCCCAGGTCAGCACACTGCTCTGGTGAGCTGGTGGACCAGGCCTGAAACCCGCAATTGGCCTGGATCTTGGGTGTGTAGAGGGGTAAGACACCAGGCCAGCACATATGACAGGAGCTCGGGACCCTGGTGGATGGCAGAATACAGGACCACCACACCACCCACTGGGCTTCCGAAGACTGGGCTAGGCACAAGGCTTGTGGATTGATTAGAGAAAGGAGCAAGGAGATATGGGGTAGGAAGGACCATCCTGGGAGTATTGTGTGGATGAGGAATGGATCCTGAGGGACTCCCAATGACAAGACCACTGTACTGCAGGTAAGCAAGGGGAATGAGACTCAGTGGATCAGAGGGGAGAGACCTAAAGATCTTTAAGGGTCTGACTGATGCACCAGCCCACATGGGAAACTTGGGCTGGGCTTGTTAGCATGGAACACTGCTGACCACCACACAGCAGCACACATGAAATCCATGGCTGGGGACCTGTCTGACAGGGCTAGATCTCAGTATCTGACAGTGAGTGTTGGATAAGGGAATGGGTCACATTATGCTAAACCATGACACCAACCAGCATGCAAGAGAACCAGGGCCAGGGGTGAACCTAACCCTACGGAATTACATTAAAAAAAAAAAGCAATAGTTTGGAATTTAACATTAAATATGTCCATATAAAATGTTGACCTGAGGGGCAGGCAATTGGCACACAGCTTCAGTTGCTGCTTGGGGTGCCCACATTTCCTTCAGACTCCCCAGGTTTGACATTCATTCTGATTCTGCTTTCTGCTGACATGTAATTCTGGGAATCACACGCTCAGTAACGTAGGCTAGACTGCTGCACCTGCTGGAAAATGTCAAGACTGCAAGCAGACTGTCTCAAACTGGTCACAGCACCCATTGGCCCATGCAAGACCTGCGGCTGGGAACAGGCCTGGTAGGGGACAACTGGAGAGAATTAGAGTAGGGACTGGAGGTGGGCCAGACTGAGCCAGGATGCCTCACTCTGGTGCATTCTCAACCCTGGTGCATTGAAACCAACAACTTCTCAGAACTACCAAAATCACTCAAGAAACACCTTGGAATACTTCCCCACAATGGGGTCTCCTTGAGCATCAAATGCTCATCTCCCCCATCACCAAGTACTGATGTAGTTTGACAACAAGGAGTGGCCCTCTTGACCTCTTCCCCAGTGGACACAGGAGAAGGAAAAAAAAAGAAAAAAGTAAACATTTGTCTTAGCCACTTTCCTCAGTGTCTGAACCTGAACCTCCCCACCCTGATCAGAGGCTCATGTGGGAGTTCATCCCTCAACTATGTAAGTATAACAAAAAAGAAAATAAGAAATTAAATAAGAAAAGAAAGTAGCTGGGTTGGGTTCCAGCCACCCGTGTGGTGACTCAGGATGGAGTTCCTGGTTCCTGGTTCCGGCCTGGCCCACATGGGGACAAGTGGAGAATAAACTAGCAGATGGAAGCACTCTTGCTCGCTTGCACACTCTCTCTCCACCCTTATTTGTCTTTAATGGTTAATTCTACACCAGCATTAAATGTGGGTCACAAAATTTGAAGAGATACCAAAGCAATGTATTTCTTAAAATTTTAAGCTTTCTAAACCATAAATGCAAATACTGACAATTCAGAAAAGATGCAAGCATACTAAAATTTATTTCAGTAAATTATACAATTTTACCCTCATTCCTGAAGGTCCTTAGGCTGATCCCCCACTCAACATTACCAACCCATTAACTCCAAGTATCCTTCAGAAGCATCTTCCCAGAATTCCTTGGACTTAACCATAAAATAAACAGTAAAAGACAATCTCACTCATCCAAAAAAAAAAAAGAAAAGAAAAGAAAGAAAGAAAGGAAGAAAAACACCAAAATTGGAATCCAGAATAAAGAGGTCTGTCAGGGACTAAAAGGCAAAAGTTGGACCTAGAGCCAGGATGACACTGTGTTGTAACCCCTAGGCCTTTGGCGATATCTGCGCATGAGCACTCAACCTCTTCTGGGCCTGCTGCTGAACTTCACAGCTCAGAGCTCCTGAACGCAATGGCGCACACATCAAAACATACAGTTTTCATGTAGGGACTTGTAGAATCTCATCCAATCCTATTCTATTTAGGATTACTTATTATGTTACTTACGACTCCCAAATTGATATTAAATCCCAACTTTCATTTTTCTTATAATACTGTCTTGTAAAGGCCAATCAATTCTTATTTCAACTCACATTTCTTTGACATAAATCATGTTCAAATAGTAACAGCTAACTTCAATACCATTTGAGCATCTTACCACTTTTAAAGTACTTAATTCTCACATTAACACACTGAATAGGTACCATTACCCAATCTTTTAGGATGAGAAAACTGAGTCAAGGGCTATTTAAGAAAGCTGTCCACCATCACACAGATGCAGAGCCTGGCACCAGGAAACAAGGTACAGTACCACACTAAAAATTATTAAATAGAAAAATCACAATAAAATATTATAATAAGACTTAGGTGAACACATGATGACCTCTCTCAAGCATATCCAAATTGTCAACAACTGCTGTTGTATTTTGAGATCATTTCTGTAAAATAAGAGACTATCTGGGGGGCCTGATGCAAAAGCTCAGTGGCTAAATCCTCACTTTGCATGTGTCAGGAGTCCATATGGGCACCAGTTTGCGTCCTGGCTGCTTCACTTCCCATCCAGCTCCCTGTTTGTGGCTTTAGAAAGTCTTTGGGACCTGCACCCATGTGGGAGACCTGGAACAGGCTCTGGGCTCCGGGCTTTCCATCAGTTCAGCTACGGCTGTTGTGGCCACTTAGGAAGTCAACCTGCATACAAAAGATGTTTCTCTGTGTCTCTACTACTCTGCCTTTCCCCCCAAAATAAAAATCTTAAAAACAAAGAAAAGAAAAGCATATCTGATTACCAGCATTGGAAAGGCATAACAGCCAGTCCAATAATTAAGATACTAAACAGGGGCAAAGGGATAAATCCCATTCCAGACAGGACAGTGACCCACACAATAACATTTCTTCACACTAATCAGAATACCACACAACTAAAAACCTACAAACCACTTAAAACTGGAATTTTCCATGCAATATTTTAATGCAACTGACTGCAGGTAATCAAAACCACAGAAAAAAATCTATGAAACCATAGACTGACTTACGCCTGGGGGTAAGGGAAGACCATCGCAATCCAATACAACAAAACAGTTCAGAAAGAATACTGTACATTCACGGTCAGCTGAATCTCAATACAGCTAGCCTAGTTAAATCAACACAAAAACAATGCTGTTTACACAGTGCTCATCACAACTGAATATCCATATGCCCTCCATCCCCAAAAACTAACCTGCCTATGTACCTCACATTTTATACACATAGAAAAAGAAACAGTGCAAGCTGCACCATCAACTTCAGTGTGAAAGCCAATCGTTACAACCCCACTTGTGAGACCCACACCCCACACGCCAGTGCCTGAGTTCAAGTCCCAGCGCCACTCCTAACTCAGCTCCCTGCCTGGCAGACAGCAGATGACTATGTAAGTACCTGAATCCCTGCCACCCACAAAGGAAATCTGGATTGAGTTCCTGGCTTCACCCTGGCTGGGAGGGAACCAGCAGATGGAACCTTCTTCTCCTCTCTTTCAAATACAATGAAAATAAGGGAATAAGTCAATTCAAAAGGAAATGCTTTGTAAATAAAGCTAAAAACACAGAAATCCTACATGGAAAAAAAAATGACTATAGTCATAAATAAGGAAAAATACTTCCTAAGTGATACGAAAACTACAATCCATCAAAGGAAAACAGGAATCTACAAACCATTCTTCAAGCAGATACTATCAGAAAAATTAAAAACACGAATTAAACACAAGAATAAAGTTTTTGCAAATCATGTCTCTGATTAAGCACTTGTATTTAGTATAACAAACTCTTACAAGTATACAAAGCCAACCCAACAAACACTTCATTCAGGAAGATACACACACAACTAACATGAACATTAAACAATGCAAAGCATCATCAGTAGCCTTTAGGAAAATGCAAATGAGAACTACAAGGAAATACCAGTGCATACCTAATACAATGCACATAACCAAAACAAGTGACAACAAGTGTTTGCCAGGACATGGAAAAACCGCAAGCCTCCACATTACTGGGCATAATATAAAAACGGTTCAGCCATTTTGAAAAACATTCTGACAGTTTTCTTCTTAATACAAATGTTACACAACACCTAGCAATTCCACTCTGTTAAGAGAAATGAACACATATGTCCACTGGAAGCGTTATACCTAAACAGGCATATTATTCTTCCTAACAGCCAAACACTGCAACTATCCACTGCTCATCAACTAGTAAACAAGCAATAAGGTACACACATACAAGGGAATATTACTCACCAGTAAAAACAAATCAAGTGGGGCCCAGCACAGCAGTCTAGCAGTTACATCCCTAACTGGCAAGCTCCAGGATCCCATATGGGCACCATTCAGGCCCTAGCTGCTCCAGCTTCCCATCCAGCTCCCTGCTTGGAGCCTGCGAAAGCAGACAGGGATGGCCCAAAGCCTTGGGACCCTGCACCCATGTGGGAATCCCAGAAGAAGATCCTGGCTCCTGGCTTCGAACTACCTCAACTCTGGACACTGCGGCCACTTGGGGAGTGAACCAATGGATGTAAGAGCTTTATCTTTCTCCCTAAACTTGCCTTTCCAACAAAAAATAGTTTTAACATTCTCCCACAACAAGTTTCATTTGTATTGGAAAGCCAGATTTACAGAAAGATCTTTCATCCACAGGTTCACTCCTCAAAAGGCCACAACAGCCACAGCTGAGCTGCCAGTAAGCAGGAGCCTCTTCCAGGTCTCCCATGTGGGTGCAGGATCCCAAGGCTTTGGGCCATCCTTGACTGCTTTCCCAGGCCACAAGCAGTGAGATGGAAGGGAAAGTGGAGCAGCTGGGACACAAACCGGTGCCCATATGGGATCCTGGTGCATGCAAGGTGGGTTTTAGGCCACTAGGCTACCACACCAGGACCAATTGATCCACTTCTAAGAACAAGGCAGCAACTCACCATAAGACTGACACCACCAGACTGCAACAGCTCATATGAGTAGAGAATTCTTTCCTAGTGAGACTTTGAAGAGAGATCCAGTTTCTTTTCCTGGCAGATATCCCAAGCAGATATCGACTTTGGACCATTTCTTTTCTTCGCTGACCATTTCAAAACCTCCTTTGCTGGCAACAATCTAGATTAAAAACAAAAAAAAGAGTAAAAATTATTATTTAAGTAGAGGCAAGCATTATCTCATAAATACATAAATTGCTCTGGGCTGGGATTTTAGAGTTCCACAATTAAATGACAACAGTGACACCTGTAATGTTTACAGGCAAACAAGAAATAGGACAATTACTGAAGCTTCTTTGTTGATTTTGTTGTTAAGATTGATTTCTTGGACCCAGCACACTGGTCTAGTGGCTAAAATCGTCGGCTTGAACGAGCCGGGATACCATATGGTTGCATGTTCATATCCCGACAGCCCCGTTTCCCATCCTACTCCCTGATCATGGCCTAGGAAAGCAGTTGAGGACGGCCCAAAGCCTTGGGATCTTGCACCCATGTGGGAAAGCTGGAAGAGGTTGGAGGATCCGGACTTCAGATCATGTAGCCCCAGGCATTGCGGTCACTTGGGGAGTGAATCATCAGACAGAACATCTCTCTGTCTCTCCTCCTCTGTGCATATCTGACTTTGTAATAAAAATCAACAATCTTTTAAAAATGATTTATTTACTTTGGGCCCAGAGCGATAGCCTAGTGCCTAAAGTGCTCAACTTGCATACGCCAGGATTCTATATGAGCACTGGTTCATGTCCTGGCTGCTCCACATCCCATCCAGCTCCCCTGCTTGAGGCCTGGGAAAGCAGTCAAAGATGGCTCAAAGCCTTGGGATGCTGCACCCACGTGGGAGACCTGTAAGAAGCTCCTGGCTTCAGATTGGCTCAGTTCTGGCCATTTTAGCTACTTGGGGAGTGAACCAGCAGACAGAGATCTTTCCCTCTGTCTCTCTTTCCCTTTGTATATCTCCCTTTCCAAAAAAAAAAATTAATTTAAAAACTTCATTTTTTGGAAAGGCAGATCAGATTTACAGAGAAAGAGAGGCAGAAAAGATCTTCATCCTCTGCTTCATCACCCAAGTGGCCATAATGGCCACAGCTGAGGCGAGCCAGAAGTTTCTTCCGACTCTCCCACAGGGGGATAAGGTCCTAAAGTTCTGAACCACCCTCTTCCTCTTTCTCAGAGCACAAGCGGGGAGCCAGATGGGAAGCAGAGCCGCCAGGACACACACTCAACCACAAGGGATCCTGGCACTTCCAGGTGAGCATTCAGTCATTGAGTCGTCATGCCAGTCCCTCTCAAGGGGTTATTTATTGTTTGTTTGTTAAGGTTTATTTATTTTTATTGCAAAGTCAGATACACAGAGAGAAGAGACAGAGAAGATCTTCTGTTCATTGATTCACTTCCCACGAGGCTGCCACACCTAGAACTGAGCCAATAGTCTAAAGCTAGGAGCCAGAAGCCTCCTCGGGGTCTCCCATGTGGGTGCAATGTCCCAAAACTTTGGGCCGTCTTTGACTGCTTTCCCAGGCCACAAGCAAGGGAATGGGAGGCAAAGCTAACAGGAGTACAACTCGCACCCATATGGGATCATAGCACATTCAAAGCCAAGACTTTAGCCACTAGCCTACCATGCTGGACCCCCTCTCTAAAGTTTTAAACGCTAAAGTTTAATTCATGTTAGGGTGCCTACACTGAAACTAGACATTTAACAGATTTACTCAATTTGTACCTCTTGCCTGGTTTGAAGAACAGACTAATTTCTGTATCTAACTAAATTCTTCAGGATATGTAACATAAAAGGCAGCAGATGAGGCTCAGCTGACAGATTCCACTCGCATGGAAACCCAGCCTGAGTTCCTGACTCCTGGATGTGGCTGGGCCCTGCGCTAGCAACTGCAGACATGTGGACAGCGTTCAGTGGAAGGGACATCTCCCTGTTGCTGATTCTCTGCCGCTCACATAAATCACAATGCAATAAGAATTAACATACACTTGCAGCAGCAATAATAGAAACAAAGAAACAAATAACCTTTCCCATCATTTTACTGAACTAAAATGGTCCATAATTGAATTTTTAAAATTTAGACTCTTATTTGAAAGTGAAATGAGAAGAGCTCTTCCATCCACAGGAGCTTCATCCAGGTCCCCCATACAGGCGACAAGGGCTCAAGAACCTGGGCCATCTTCCGCTGACTGTCCCAGGCCATCAGCAGGGGTTGCATGGAGTACAACAGCCAGGACCTGAGCAACGGGCTGGCGGCTGTGCAGGCAGCAGCTCTACTCATCATGAAACCAACTCAGGCTCACATCATTTCAATTTCTAAACATCACCAAACTAAGGACAAAAGCTCTCCACAAAACCAAGATTCTTTTGACGAAAAATATGCATGTATGTGTGTATTTTAAAACTAAAACCAACACACAGGGAAGAGACAGACACGTTTCTTCCATCCACTGGTCCACTCACCAGACGCCCACAACAGCCAGGCTAAAGCCAGAAGCTGGAACTCCGCCTGGGCCTCCACATGGGTGCAGGGATCTAAGGAACTGGGCCATCTTCACCATTTCCGCTCAGGTCATTCTCAGGCAGCTGCATGAAGGCAGAGCAGTCAGGACTCACACTGGCAACATAGGCAGCAGTTTCATCCACGACACCACACAGGCCCCGAACCAAGTTTCTAATTCACTTCCCACTGACCTTCTTTCTCATTATACTAGAAGAAACCATCCAGCAAAAACATCATAAACCAAGGAAAACAAAGACTTGCAACAAAGGAAGAAGCAAAAGGAAAGCCCCAGAGGGTCTAGGCTAATAGCTGACCTTAAAAGCAGCTGGTCTGGAGTGAACAGCAAAGATAACTCCAGGAAACAGCAACATGGCCATGTGGGATGTCGGCACTACAGATGGTAGATTAGCGCACTGTGCCACAACACTAGCCCTCGCACACACTTGAACCAGAATATTAGCAGAAACTCTGGCATTTCACTACTTATCTCTACAAAACCACTCCTACAGGAACAAGAGAGAGAATGAAATTTTCAGTGAAAACAAATCACTGGAATAATTGACTTAATCAAAAACTCAACGAAAATGTGCTAAATTGGGGGCCAGCATTATGGCACTGTAGGCTAAGCTTCCACCTGTGGCACAGGCATACCACTCAGGTGCCAGCTGGTGTCCTGGCTGCTTCACTGCCCATCCAGCTCCCAGCTTGTGGCTGTGAAGGCAATAAAGGACAGATCAAGTCCTTGGTCCCCTGCATTCATGCAGAAAGACTGGAGACCCAGAAAGGCTGGCTCAGCCCCAGCTATTATGGTCATCTGGCAAATTTGATGATGGATGGAGGATCTCTGTCTCTCCTTCTCTCTGTGTTACTCTTTCCAATAGAAGTAAAAGGATCTTACAAACAGAGAGAGAGATCCACAGTACAATGGCTCATTGGCTAAATCCTCACCTTGCAAGCACCGGGATCCCATAGGGCTGACAGTTCCAGGTCCTGGCTGCTACACTTGGCATCCAATTCATTGCTTCTCGCTTTCCCTCCATTCCTCTCTTGTTACAAGAGGCTGGTAACTTCTCTAAAAAGGAATCCAAAACAACAAGCATTAGCTTACTCAAAAGCAGAGAAAGAAACTCATGAAAGCTCAAGAATGGGGACTGGGCCTCCTAGGTGTTTAGGGCTCTGCCAAGTTTGGGCAGTGTGCCCCATTGCACATGGGGGACAGGGCAGCCAGCTCATCTCAGCCAGATGGGGATGTGCCATGTCAGAAAATGGAAAGCAGAACAGAACAGACCATTCTCCTGGCCAAGCTTGCAGCAAGTGCCTGGGCCTGTGGATGCACTAAGGTGGACTTGGTCAGCCAGTGGATCTGGAAAAGATCTTCTCAGCCCTGATGCAATCAAGTCAAAACTGCCCAAACCACTCAAGCAACACCCTGGGATGGCAGATGGCCAACACACAACCTCACCTCCAGGAACCTGCACTAAGTGCTAACCACGGCCCACCCTGGTAAACCAAGCATAAAGGCAAGCAACAACCTCCCCTCCTGCACCCCTGCTCATGCCCAAGCTACCCTTGCCATCATGGACCTCAAAAAGACAGCAAGCCACCAGCAGCCATAATGACTCCAATATAACCCCAAGGACAGGCCTGTGCTCAAAGACACCAACAATGACCAACACACCACCTGCCCTCAAGGACCCCGGGCCAATGACCAAGCCACTGGATGACTTCCCAGACCCAGCACCCAGGGCCAAGCTGAGGCTAGCCCTGCTGGACCACACACAGAAAGCAAGCCACTGCCTCCCCACCCGGACCCCATGCTGATGGCTAAGCCCCTGCCTACCCTTCCTCCTGCACTGAAGACCAAGCCAACGCCTGGTCTTCAGGAACCCACACTCAGGGCTAAGCCGCGGATCAGCCTCCTAAACCCCACAGGAGTGCAAGTGGACATCGCCCCTCCTGTACCCCGGCTGATGGCCAAGCCACCGGCTCACCAGCTGACCCCACACCCAAGGACAAGCAGCCACCTGGCCTGCACTCCCAGACATGGGCTGGGGACAAGCTGCCACCTCCCCTTCCTGGACCCCTGGACATTCGGGTGTCTTACCTTGTAGATGTCCGTGTTCTTGGTCACAGGTCGCATGGTGCTGGTGAAGTCTAGTGGGTCTGTGAACTCCTTCAGGGAGGCTCAGAGTCCAGGCACCCTGGGGGCGGCACCAACTCCACCTCATGCACACAGACAGTCCCAAGTGGGTCCACCGTGGCGGCCACCACTAGGCCCTCCCCAGGTCAGATGCAGGTGGACAGCAAGTGGGACCAGGGTCAGCTGGAGTCCACGAGCCACGTCACGTCCTCTCACAGAGCCCTCACCACGTCTTTCAGCACGAGAACTGCTCCCCATGGAGAGCCCAGAGGTGCATCCTCTTCCTCTGCTGCTTCTTAGCTGACTGAGGCTGCGGGGCTTCAGCACCTCGCAGGAAGTGACCATGCAGCCACTCCCTCCGCGTCAGCACCACGCAGGACCCTCCGCCACTGGGGGCCCTTTTCTTCTTCTTCCCGGAACCCAGGTGCCCGGCTGTGCTTCCTCTCCTTGCCAGGGGAAGTTCTGTGTGGCCATAAA